GGGATATACTACCAGAAGCTGGACGTGTTCGCGTCGTACAGGAACCAGCAGATCTCTCTGGGCACGATGCTGCCCGCGACGTACCAGGGACACAAGGACGTGGCGGTATGGTCGCCGTTCTTGTACGGGACGGCTGTGCCGGTGTCTCCGTACGTGTGCCAGTCTCTGACGCAGGATCAGAATGCTGGGGGAATGCTGGTGAACGTGAAGGTGAACGGAAGGGTGAAATGGAAGGTCGGTTCTTGGGTGTCCGGCAAGTACCATCTCTTTGTCAACTGCCCGGCCTTTATCAGGCTCGCCGGAGACGGGATCGGAGCTACAGGCCCCGCCATCAAGTATCAGATTATGCAGAGTTGCAGCGTTGATGTTTAATTAGTTAGCAAAGTAATTCGCCTACTTTTTACTCCAATAATTAGCTTCCTCTCTTCACCACTCTCTTAAAATGTCACTATATTAATTCTATTTGGCTTTTGCTGTTTTTATTTCTGATTGAAACTTAATACTGATAGTACATGGGTTGTTCCAGGAAAGTCAAGTCAAATTACTCTCTTTCCATCTTTACTGATATTCATGTCAAATAATGTTACGGTGATAAAAATTAAAGAAGATTTCTTTGTCACCAGACTAAGAGCTTATTTGGAAGCGCTTAAAAAAATTTTTATAAGCACGTTTCATATAAATTGAAATAAAATTCTTTCACATATTTATCCCGTATTCTGTAAATTATTATTAAAAAGTTACTTATAAATTGCTCTAAACTGATCCTTAAGTATTATAGAATGATGACCCACATCATCGTTGTACTTAATTTAGCATAGAAACATGTTTTAAATTTTGGAGTACGTAGAAAGCGAGATGAGAAATGATATTAAATACGAAGTACGGCCAGAAATCATGATACATCATGCTCTCAAATTGGCATCTTTTTCGAACGAAACCAGACACGAACCATATGATGTAATCATTTTTTTAAATGGACAGTGTATTTCAATCTCGTTTTGATTGAATAATATTATGATATGATTGTTTGGGTGGGCTATTAAATGATAAAAGGACTGTGTCATCCATGTGGGACGGAAGACGAGGAGCTACAGGACGGGGATGACTCGAATTCATTACATGGGTCCTCCGTGCTAGTTGACTATAAGGTCTTCTCTGGTTAATTTCTAGGAATCACACATTGGATCTCAGATTGGCATTGAAATCATAAAACAAAAGTCCATTAATTTCATTACTCCTCCGTTCCTTATATAAGAGACAAATAACCGAAGTACGTTGATCAAAAAAATAGTTAAAAATTAGTTAAGAACAATTAATGTGTAAAAAGTATAATTGTTTTTTAAAAATGCCCTCATTAATAAGGAGAGAGAGCATGAGAGAGAACAATTAATTATTAAAAAAGAGAAGTGGGAAGGAAGAGAGAGAGTGAGTTGGAGATAATAAATATGGGTAAAATAGGAAATCAACACAAAAAGTAGAGACAACTTTAAGTGTCTCTTATATATAGGAACATGCTATAGCATAAATGTCTCTTATAATAAGGAAAGATGAGTATTAATTAAATCTGAGAGATGGAGGAGTCTCAGTGGTCTGGCACATCTTTTGGATCGTGTCCTCTGTTCACACAACATAATACCATACCCATCACAATCCCTAAGCTCCCATTCACTCGTTTCTCTCTTGTTTGTTTTAAGTTCTGTGCAATAAAATTAAAAGTGGTCTCAGAGAAAGTGACTCCTGGGAAAAGTAAATTCTCCATTCCGAGTGAAAATGGATAGACACAGTGGGAAATATAATATAGTAGTATATGGCTAAGTAAGGTGAGAGAGAGGGGAGTTTCTGTGGACCACGAGATCTGTAAACTAGTATCATGAGTACATACAACGCATATGATGGGGTTGAGTGTGGAGAAAAATTTCATGGAGGTTTCTTTCACTTGAAGCTATTCAAAAGTAAGTTGCTGCATATTCTGAATTGGAATATGGATTTAACTTTGTTCCGCCAACTTCCACCTTACCTTTGTGCATGGAATCAGAATTTTTTTTAAAGGATTTTTCAATAAGGTAAATGGCTCGTTTGTTCCTTTTAAAACATGTGGTCCTCTGGAAATGTCGTCCTAATAAGCTCCAGGAGTTGTCATTGTTGGATATAGTAAAATTGCACACCGTTTGTAAATAGAAACGCTATACTATTTCTGTGCAATCTACTTTACCTGTGATGGTTACTTGGAAGCAGAAACAGATAATTTTCCTAAGGAATGAGGAAAATGCCGTGTTGACTCAAATAAAATAAGCTTTAATTTAACATGAAATTTGCCACAATATGATCATAGTGGGAACGCGCTCAGCAAATCGCTAATCATGAAGACCAATCATTTATTATTGGTCATTCGCAGTTTCTCTGTATCTTCCTCTCTTCGACGCGCCCACCCACATCCACATCCACATCCACATCATCATCAGTTATTTTCTTATTGGGTGATAATAAAAAGTTTCAGAGGCCTCTTCTGTTTGTTAACATTGCACAATCCACAATAGCGACTTGACAAAAACAATTTTAAAGCGGACCAAAGGAGTAGAAATTTAAATGATTATAAAAAAAAAAAAATTGGGACACATACACGTGGTTGATGCGGATTCAGCATTTGATTAAACAGCCCCAAGACTTTGATTAGACTTGGGGGTTCCAAGTGTTAATTTGTGTTCATATACGTACATATAACTAAGCGAACGTTAAAGCATCAATTTTGTGTTCTTCAATAATTTAAAAACAACTAGATTTGGATATTTACCGATAAATGAGATACCAAGCCTCTATCAGATACGGATGGACGGGGTTGAAGATTTTAATGAATTAAACTAAAAAAAATAAAGGGGGTTAAAATATGAAAAAAAAAAGTGCTACAATTTATATGAATTAAATTTGCAATTTTATCATTTCTCACTTTTATTATTTACTTTTTGCCACGGATCTGGTTTTTTTATTACGGACCCGACGCCACATTTTTCCTGCATTTCCCAACCGCATAACTGAGAAAATGCTAATATATATATATATATATATATATTTTTTTTTTATATAATAGGACGCATACCATGGGCACCGTAGAACTAGAGTGACGATTGCACGTGATATACCAGTTACCGCAGTTAAGAACAACAGTAACCGTGATTTCCAACACGTGAAGATTTAAGTTGAAACCCAATTTAGAGAGGGCTCTGTTTGAAGGCTTTATTGGGCCCAGGCTAAAATGATGGCCATTAGCCTAGATATATATGGGTTCATTGGCCCACAAATGGAAAGTGTTGACCGACGCGTTCAGCAACGACTTCGAAGTGGGAATACCTTGGTAGTCTCCTTCCTGTAATTTATGAAGCACACAGATGACTTCAGCACAAACAACGCTTATAAAGCGCACGTGGTGTGTTATTGTTTGCTTACACTCTCACGTTGTAATTGTAAATGTTGACCAGTTTAATCGGACACCGATTCCCTAATTTATTAATGAGCTAAAATTTGAATTTTTGTCAAGAGTGCGTTTGGTATGAGAGATTTAGAAGAAGAAAAAAAAGGAGGAGAAAAGATTTTAATCATTTTTCTTTGTTTGGCAACACAAATTTTAGGAGTGAAGAAAAAAATTTTCCTCCTCAATCTTCCGCCCAAAATTAGGAAGATTTGGAGGGAAAACACAATATTTTGTCATATTATGACTATTATGTCCATATTTATTTTTAATAGCCCTATACTATTTTATATCTTTTTTCTCTTGTCTTTAGACCGCTATCTTCTCCTTTACATTACCAAATAGTTCATTCAAATATGGGATACAACATAAGTTGTGGCTGAATATTACTTCAGCCTTATTTTCAATAATACTTCACACTCTAGAATATATTAGAATTTTGGTAATAAGATTGCTCAATATTTAAATGTTATTTACAATTCTATTTTATTAAACATTTTATAAAATTTGGAAAAAAATAATCTTAATAAAATAAGGACAAAATTGTTCATGTTAAAATATTTCTCTCTCCCCTCTCCATTATGAACCAGATAAATAATATTAAAACTCTCCTTTTCCCTCTCTTTTTATAAATCCAAACAAAGTCATATTAAAATCTTTTCACTCTCTCTTCCCTCCCCTTCTCTCTATTAAAATTCCCCTCCTTCCTTCTCCTCTCGTTGAGCCAAACAAACAGACCCTCAAATATTTACATTTAGTATTCAAAATTGCTTCGAATATGATTACTTTTAATTAAAAAATACTTATTTATTATAAATAATTAGTTTAACAATTTTTAATTTTTTAATTGTTTATTAGTCAACTAGTTTTTATATTTAGTACCGGATGTAATACCTGTGACTGTGCTTGTTAAAAGAAATTATCAACGGATCTCACATGGCGCTTCATACTGTGATGAGTTGATCGCTTGAGGGTGTTGGCGCGATGAATCCCACTAACATGCCTAGGTGGACCTGTCTGCGTACAGCTTCTACATGCTCCTACTGTTCTCAGTGCTTCGTCACTCTATCTCACTTCAACCATTTGTTTTAACCACACTAGTTTTGCTCTTTATTCGCTCCCTCCCGTTTCCAGCCATAACCATGCTTAACAAATACTTCTCTAATATTTAATATAAGACTCATTTAATTAATTTAATTAGATTAAAAAATTTAGATAAGTTAGTTAATTATAAAAAACATGACATGGTTTTTCTAAAACATCATAATCATTTTTTTAAATATCATTCTTCTTTCTTTTACTTGATTAGGCTTGCGGGAGTATCAATAAGGATAATTTTAAAAAAACTAATAAATATGATAAATATGTCTTATATTTAGAACTAAAATTAACTCAACTATTAAATTATATATTAAGGACTGGAGGAGTGTTAAAATTACATTGTGCAAATAGTTTTTAAAAAAATTAAAAAAAAAACAAAAGCTCGCGAAATTCCGTGGGATGCAGAAGATGGTTGCGATTAAGCCCATGTCATTTCACCGTTGGCAGGCCCAGCCCATGAGAGCCCGGCTGGCAGTTGCAAGTCTTAAACGCCACGAAAACCCATTATCACCTAACATTTCCAAGCCTGTGCCAGCTTTTTATTTTTTATTTTGATGAGTCAGCTTTTATTATTCTACAAGGTAATCAATGTTTGAATTACAATTGAGAGTGATATTTATATTTAGTGGCTGACGGTTTTTCAAACAGCCACCAATAATAGAACAAATGTGCTCAGTACGAAAAATATATTATATCCGGTTTTTAATATAAGAATTAGTTTGATTTTTAATTTGATCTTAAATATAAGATCTCAATCTGTTTTCTCTCTTATATTTATTCATTTTTTCTAAAATAATTCTTGTAGTAATTGCTTATATTAAAGGTTCTACCAAAATAGTGGTTCTA